GGGGGGGGGGGGACAAATATATGTCATATTTTACTTGTTGTGTTTCAAAAAAAAAAATAAGATAACTCATTTAGAATTTGAATATACATCTGAATATTAAAAATGTCTTAATCTAAATACGCATCTAAATTGCATATGAAATTAAATGCTAGATTAATTTTTTAATTAGAAAAATATCCAGCTAAATAAACTCTTGTTCCGTTTCACAACTCAAGTATAAGATAGTTTAAATAATTAACTACAAAATAATCCGATCAAACTTTATAAAATGGACGAGTAACAATTAACAAATATGGCAATATCAATATCAATATCAATATCAATATCAATTAGAGAACGTAATTAGACTACTAATGTAAAGTTGTCATCTTCAACGTTATGTGTAAATATATAGGAATTCAAATAAATTTTGACACCTTCAAGAATATTTTAACAAAATGATATTATTGTTACACTTAATCTTTGTGGCTACGAGAGTTCTTGATAAATAGAGGCGAACTCAAAATTTGAAGATTAGGGGTGCACCACTATCTTTTAGTTTATTTTGGTTATTGAAGACAAACAATAGAAATAAAAACAATGCACACTCAAACCCACAACATGGTGGGTAATAGATGCGGCTTTAATCAACTCACCTGGATGAATTTTTTATTATTAAAGTGCACAATTATATACATAATCGTTACTTAAGGTATCTATACACATATATATAATTTGTTTTGAAAAATTATCGAGTGCACGTACACCTTTACGGATCAATGTAGATCCGCCTATGTTGATAACAGGGGCGGTTCTATGCTTTGGAAAATAAGGCCTTTGCCTTAGGCCCCCGAATTTCGGGGGCCCCAAATTATTGTCAAGAATAAATTATGTGTTCAAATTTTTATAGAAAAATTAATTATTTATGTTAAAAAAGTATAATTTTTTTTAAAATAAATTATTTTATCCACTTTAACATCTTTTGTACTTTATTAAAAATAAAATTAATAGTGAAAAGTGTTGAACAAAGTGAATTACAAATTCTTTTTTATTTCTTTTTAAATTTTAGTTTCAAGCATTACTATAAGCATATTAAAATGAGGTATATCAAGTCATCAACTTCTTGAGTCAAATTCTATGGTTCTAACTCTTATTTTTATTTAATATTTATCAACTTATTACTTATAGTCATTATGTTAACAATACATATAATAATTGTTTACACTTAAAACATGTTTTTTCAATGTTGAGTTGATAAAATCATACCTAAAACTAGTAACTGAAAAAAACAATATTAAGTACTAGTAATTTTCATCTAAATAGTGTAATTTTTTTTTGAATAAATACATATATGAAGTATATTTATATTTTAGGCCGCGAATTGAAATTTTGCTTTAGGCCCCCAATTACGTTGAGCCGCCCCTGGTTGATAAACATGAATATACCCAAGAAAACATTGTGTAGTTGATAAAATTATGAAAACTTACTATAAGAGGTGATATTGGAGAGCGAAAGGTGTGAAAATCTAATAGAAAACCGAAACAAAGAGATGTGAAAGATCTTGTAAAATAAGCATATCATTTTAAAGAATCTAATGATGTTAAGGCTCCATTACAAATCTGAATGATTCATTCACATTCATTAAGAGGTTTTTATTAAGAAACAAAACAATGATCTGAATTTAAATGATTAAGATTCAAATCTTTAAAAATAAACACCCTTAATGAATTAGAACTGAATGATTCGAATTAAAATCCGCATGAAAATAAGTACTCCCTCAGTTTTTAAAAAGAATAATCTAGTTACATTTTAGTCTGTTTAAAAAAGAATGATGTCTTTTCTTTTTTGACAACACTTTAACTTTAACTTTTCACGTGACATTGTAAGGCAAAATTAAAGGGCATTTTGATACATTTGACATAACTTTAATTTAGAATCACAAGATTAAAAAATTTCTTTTTTTTCTTAAACTCCGTTCCAAATCAAACTAGTTCATTCTTTTTTAAACGGAGGGAGTAAGATATTAATCTTATAATTATAGTAATTTTCTAATAAATATTTTTGAAAATATTAAATTTATTATATAAAATATATAATAAAATTATCATTTTATTCGAAAGCCAACACCGTAGAAAATAGAAGGAAATTGAGCAGCTCTTTCTTCAAAATCCAAAGGGAATTGAAAGGCAAAAGCGTTGCGGTTCGATTATCAAAATTCAAAGGCATATAGCTCTCTTCCTACGTTTCATACGCAATTAGCTTCATTTTCTTCCACTGCCCAACTCATGTTGAATTTCTGGTATTTTTTTTTCTTCAGATTTACAGATTTTCATTTCCTTATTCAGTTATGAATCGGACGATCGTATTTTGTTGTGTTTTTTTTTTTTGTATTTTATTTGAAGTTTATATGACCTATGTCCTCTTTTGGTATAGATATCTGCAGTTTTTTGTTTTTTTTTCTTCCTATTATTATATTTTTGTGCTAAATTTTGGTTAATTGTGAAGAATCTGTGCTAAATGAGTGATCCTGGAAGCATAAATTTAGGAACCATTACTTATGTTTTGAATTCCCTTTTTGCTATTCCATATTGTGTTATTTAGGCGTTTGAAGAAGTTGAAATCTATATCCACTATCTACCATAGGCAGTGTGGAGCCAGGAATTGAAGCTGGTCCATTTTAGTACTTTTGAGTTGCTGCGTTCTAAATTAATAGTTTATACATGTAATTGAATATTTTAAAACTACTGTAAGGGTTTTGAATCAAAACTACTAGATTTTGTCCGCTTCCTACACTCTAGCTCTGCCCTGGATCCAGGATTTGGATGTGGTTGTTTGAATAGAGAGAGTGGGTTTCTGAAATGTATATCTAATTCTATCGTATTTGTTTCTGAAATATATATCTAATTATATCCGAACTACCAAACCCTTTGTTAGATTCACCAATGAGATCCATGTAATTTCATTTGGCAGTGTGATTATAGTTTATAGCATAGCTTGTTTATATGTAATGGTATTGGTATCATGGCATGATGTATATCGTACTTAGAATGTACAGAATGAATTCGTTATTTTAGTTAGCTTTAGGATTTTGGCAAACAGATCTCAATCAATCAGTAATGCTCCTCAATCTAAAATTAGTTGGTGTCAGCTATATGAGTTGTATACCTATTACCCTTATGCTTTGACATACATATTTCCTTGAACTTCTCTTTTCTACAGGGGTAACAAAGAGCAACGGGCTCAGTCAAGTCCTCAAGAAGCTAATAATGGTTCACGATATTCACCTTCTGTAGTCAGCTCACCAAGCTCTTCCCGCCCTGCAACCCCTAGTTCAAACTCTTCTGGCGGTTTTAATGCGCAGAGTCCAACAAACAGGCCAAGCTTTGTGTCCCAAGTTTCTCCTGCAGAGGCTGCTGACATCGCTGCTGCTTTAAGAAACAAGAGGTAAATTTTAGTTCATATATGTCAGCAATTACACCTATAAAGAAAGGATCATTAGTTACATTGTGGTCTTTGTTTCTACCAGAATTAGATTCTGAACTCGCTGGGATTTGTAACAGAGATTCCATCTTTGTTTTGCTATATGGTTATCAAGAGTGGTTTCATGTCACCATCATGAGATTCAACATAGATTTATGATTTTGATACATTTATGTGCATAAAACTCCTGAAAACTCTATAATATATCTAATGGTATTGATACAATTATGTGATAGGGGTTTGTGAGCTATTGCATAGGAGCGGGGGTTTTACCCTGTGCGCACCCAAAGGGTAGCGGCTGCAGGTTTCCCTTGTCATAAAAAAGAAGACAATTACGTGATAGGAATTAACCTTTTTGAATGTTGATGAGTTCTGCTTTCTATCTTATGGAGCATTATGAAACACCAAATTGTGTAATGAACTGAAGTGCATACAGTAAAAGATATACTGGATAGTACAAGTTTTGTCATTTGAAAGCAGAATTCTTACAATAAATGCAAAGAGGGTGGCTTGTAGGAAACTGCCAATGAATTTTAACGAAGATAAAAGTTTTATATCTGAAATAGATACTCGTGGTTCGGTTCATAATCAGAGGTTTTCTGGTACATGAAAGAACATAAATATTTTCTTTTTGATCATTAGTATCCAAGGAAGCAATTAACGGCACCCTTTAAGGTACCATTCATGCATGTTTTGAGAATGATGAATAAGTTTTATCTTAAAATATGATTTCGACACTATGAAGTATCGTCTGCCTGCAAATGCTTCATGACTTTTTAGTTTAAAAAATAAATAAAAAGCTTCATGACTTGATCATCTGTTTCTGATTATCATTAAACAATCAAATGAAGAGCTTAGCCTTTTTCATCATTCTTCTTTTTGCAATTTGTTTCTGATTTTCAATATGCTTTCTTGTTAAATTGTTCAGTGTTAATGAGCTAAAGAAGCTTGTTTCTGACAAGGATGCTCGTCACAACTTCTTACTTTCACTTGAGGCTGTCAAGACTCAGAATAATGTAAGTAATAAAATTACTTGTTTCGTTCTGCTCGGCCGGTCTTGCCATACCTTGTTTCCTTTTAAAGTCGAACATACACTGGATCTAATTTTTCCTCATTTTGTTCAAATATGATATTATGCTCCACGAAATTATACATGTCACAAATTGAATGAACAGCCGAGTGAGATTCTGTTTCTAGTAGTAAGGGAGGAATCAAATTATACACGGGGGGTGACTGGATTTAGTTGTTCTGTTTGTGTGAGGTTCTGCATTCATGATGTCATAATGTATTTAGTCCTTTCAAGTGGCTTACAATCTCATGAGACTTGTGCATTACAATGCACATCATTGCTTTTTGGTGATCTCACCTCATACAGTTCAAAGTTAATAATACTTGCATGTTTGGATTTGGTTGGCCTTGTTCTTGCTTCCTTTCTTCCTTGCCAAAATGAACTTGAATAATCTTTCTACCTCCTGTGTGCTCTAATCTTCTTCTTACACAATGTATATGACAAATTGTGTATCCTCATGTCTTATGCATGTTAGCAAGGTAATTTCAACGTGAGAACACAACTTTGATCCGTTATAATCACCTTGATGTAATATTTTGTTGTAACAGGCTCACTGTTCTATGGTAATTTCTTACTCTTGCTGTTTTCCCCATATCTGATCAGGTCAGGGATGAGCTTCGGAATGCAACTCTGCAGCTTGCTAGTAAGTTTTGGGTTGCTTATGCCTTATTATAGGTAGTGATATATCAACTAGTATCTGCAGATAGATTTTGAACAAAATCCTTATGCAGGGGAGAATTTAGAAAAAGAACCCTGGATAATGGAGCTGAGAAATCAGGTTAGATACTTCACATTGCTTCTAGAGTATTTACTTATTTGTAAAAGCATTTGTAACATTTTAGCATCAAAGCACTGACTTGGGAAAAAAAAATCGGTGCGCCCTCCTTTATTGTTCACAGTGCAGAATCATCCGCACAACTGAATTGGCTGCTGCTCAAGAAAAGATGCATGAGCTGGAAAGGAGAAAAGAAGAGCTTCTAAAGTCATACTCTCCTGTGTCGCTTCTCCATCAGCTACAAGGTAAATAGTGGAAGCACATAAAGCTTGTATACTTTTTTCTTTTCCTTTTGATCGTTTGTTATTCTTTTTACATCGGGTAAAATAATGTGAAGTACAATTACAGATCAATATGACAATAGGAGACTTCTTACTATGTCACCAATGCATAATAACAGCTTTTCATAATACTCAACTTACCTTTTGAAGGACAATCTTCACTGGTGTCCTCTTGATCTACTTTGATAAATATTCTTATTTTCCTCGAACTTATTGAAAAACATTAGTCTCTTTCAACCATTTTTCACTCTGCTCCACTATTCAATTTCCTTTTTGGATTAGTACACACTATACCACTTTTCATTATGTCCCAATGAAAAAGTTCCATCCATTTGAATGTTATCATCAGATTTCGCACAAGTCCTCTACTTGCCTTTTAAGCGTGAATCTAATTCTATCCACTCTTAATTAAGGAGCTAGTGCAGAATTTTAATGAGACAATTATGTGTAATAGGAAATTTTATCTTAATAGCTTTGTGCTCAATTTTGTCACATTGTTACTCTCTCTATGATGGTGTTATTAAGTTAATAGCTTTAAGAAAGATTTTCCAATTTGAAGTATCTACCATATGCTACCTCCTTCCTACAACAGTTCCTAAATGATTATTTGATAAATCTGAGACTCTGGTTGCTTAGTGATCAGAACATTCTTTTTTCGTTTTTGGTAGAAGTTGTGAGATACCAAATTGAAGTGCCCTTAGAATATTGAATGGATGGCTAACACATCGATATTTTCTTGCTTATGGGATTAGATAACTGAAGTAATTAGACTTGCCAGTAAAAGAATTGACAGTTAACTGTCTATTGATATTTGATACAGATGCCATGAAGAAAACGGAGGAGGACTCTGAAGCCCTTCTTGGCCAGCTCCTTGATCAAGAAATTGATCTTACAACATTCGTGCAGAAGTACAAAAAACTGCAATGCAGTTACCACAAGCGTTCCCTCACACATCTTGCTGCTAAGGCATCTTTAGGCAACCATAGTTAGCTATAAACTATCCGTTACACCTCTCTAAACTGATTAAGAAACATCTCTTGAAGACGCTTAATGTAAATGTACCATGATGAACTACAATAGTCCCAATTGCTTCCTTCATTTCATTTTCTTAGGTCTTCCGCAAAATATAAATATAGATTGTGGGAGATTTGCTTATTTCATTTGATTTTATGTTGAAACTTATATTAAACAAAGACTCTACATTGGCTGTTTAACACAGAGAGCCAACAGACTCAGAAACAAAAATTACCAAAATACTGGACTAGGAACGACGAAAACAAGAAGCAAGAACACAAGAAACACCCCCGTATATAGAAGTTTCCACTTTCATGTGATAAACTACACCAGCAATGAGACCTGCAAAATGTTCAGCTCCCTGTACTTTCTTCTTTCAGTCGGTCCATTTCCTTCTCCCACTTGAGTCCGAGCATTTGGCGGCCAAAAGGGACAATAAGGTTGTATCGGAAAACCTGAAGCCAAGACACATATTTAGCTTGACTAAGTTTTGACAGTAGTTTCCTAGTTCAGCCATCTTGCTAGCAGAGCATATAATACTAATATATCATCAAATACGGAGAATTGAGATGCATGTATATATGCACACAGAAAACACGGGACATACTTTGACAATAATTATGTTGTAAAACAGTAGCAGTTCACCATACACGGAGTGGGAAAAGAAACAGAACTGAATAGGTAATTTGAAAAGTAAATCAGTTCCTTGCTCTGCTCACCTTGTTATTGATGTCACGTATCTGCAGCTTTAGAAACTCGGATGCCTCGATCCATTCAGAATCATCGACAGAGCCTCGGTGTGTCCATGCCCTTTTAAGTGCTGATTTCCACTCAACTACTCTATTTCTTATCTCTTTGTTCAATTCAACCCACTCAGGTGCACATTTATTTCTGGAGAGAATCCTATACAAGGTATCTTCAGCTGGATCAGCGTGAGGATTAGTATTGAGGTCCAACGGTTTTCCCTTCCCTGGCAAGTTCTCAAATTGCCCTTCTTCCATGGAATGCCATATTCGTTGTTCAACAACATTGATGATGTCAGTTTCTGACCTGATCAATATTCCATGCAAGATTAGAAACCAGCATTCAAAAAAGAAATTAGAAAAAAAAAACTCAGAGATTGTGTTCGTAACATCCAGGATAAATCAGGATCCTACTATTTGCAATTGGTCCAGCGAAACACAGCTGCAGCAACTACGTGAAAGCTAGAGAATTATGCAACACATATGCATGAATTCAAAGAACACTCTTCTGACTTTTTACCTTTACAATTTTAGTTACATACCGTCCTCCATTTATTTACAGAAAAAACCAGGGGTGGCATTAAGACAACTAGTACAAAATCTTGCTCCTCTAACAATTAGAGGTAAAATTCTCTAAAGAGGTACTTATTCGAATGAAAAATAAAGATGCATATCATCAAATTCAATCTCAAATCACTGACTCAAAAGCAACAGCATTATTAACTGCTCCGTAATAAATCAAAGAACTTCAAGTGATTAAGAGGAAACTACACTTGGATACCGAAGATTATACTAAAGTGGTAATAGCATAGCAATTGAAAGCCTAAACTACAGTGAACCTACTACTATATAACCCAAATTACAGAGAAAAAACACTTCCAGATTCATGACACACTCGCACTCTGGATATATGTCACAACCTAAGTATTCGTGATACAGAAACGCCAAACTAAGTGCCCAGTAGGAGCAATGTGCATCAGTGCAACATTAATACAAATGATGCAAGCTGTATTGATTTAGACACAAACTCCAATAGTTCGTCCTTTTGGGTATGGAAGATATGAAATATTTTTTCTCGGACACTTGTGAGATTAGAACATCACACTCAAAGAGTCTTACCAATCTCACTTTATCGTTTATACATAGATTACTTCAATAGAAAAAGTTAACAATTCAACATCCAATACAGAAACCAGTTTACTATAGATAGGCCTTTTAACCGTACAGTCTATCAAACGAAACTGATATTTTCATTGGCATCACATTTTCATCAAGTTGAGATGAATTAGGAACAAAAATATTCCAAATACATTGTGAATTAAGCTCGGAATATGGAATTCTATTGAGCCAAGTACATAATCAAGGCAATAAACATCACTACAATTTTTTGCAGTAATTTGAGCAAACAATTAACGCATTATCCAGCAGCTGAATCAACACATCATATCATTTTCTCAAATCTTCAACTTAAGCTACCTAGCTATAATACCTTACAAAGTTTAAAACATCAAGCAGTAAAAAAATAAATTCTAACGATTATCATACAAGGAGCTCGTAGAAATGAACATTTTTTTTTGTCATTTTTCTAAATAGAATATGTGAGCATATCAGAAATTACCTAACGGCGTCACGTTGACCTCGAAGTTCCGGCGGAAGCTTACGATCGTTAACCACGTCGATTACACCGGAGAGACGATCAGTCATTTTCTTATTATTAGTTTTAGGAAAATCACTGTCAGGAGAAGAAGATGATGATGCCAATCGTGGCTTGAAGACGCCATGACTGCCGGTTTCAATTCCGGCCGGCGACTTATGAGTGGCGGAGGACGATAAAGCTCCGATTGACCTCGCGAAACGAGTCGCCATGCCGGTGAGATTGTGTGGAATAATGGGCTTGGGCCTAATGGGCCCTGTTTATTTTCACAATCTTATTTGCCTATACGGCCGACTCTCAAAATTGTTAATACGTGGCCTACTCTAAATCACTACCATTTTTAAGACACTAATTTTTTATTTTATTTAATTACAAATATAACAATTATTTTACCCATTAGAAATTGTAAGAAACTAGGCTTTGATCTTTTTTATTTTAGGCTTTAATATTTTTCATTTTCTCTTTTTATTTTTTTACCAAGCACACTAAAAGCAAAAAAAAAAACTCTATTACCAACAATTAAGAAGCTTTAAATTCGAAAATTGAATTTCGCGAAGTTATTATTTATTTATATTGGTATTGTTTCAAACGATTAAGAGTATTCTTCAGAGTTTATATGTCAATTTTGATGAAGATTTGAATTGATTCTTATTAGAATTTTATATTGAAATTCAAATAAATTAAAAAGAATACTGTTATTTTTTCTCTCTCTATATCCTATTAAGTAATATACATAAAATAAGATGTATGTATTTTACATTTAAGATGGATATTACAAAAGAAAAAGTGTGTGCAAATTATATTTACTTGGTAGTTTTGACCAAATTATATATATTTTGTGGGAAAATTCGGGATACCTTTTATTTTAGATACAAATTTTATTGCTATTCGTATAGTATTTTATATATCCAAACAATTCATTAGGATGCAAAACACAAATAAGATTATCTGTTTCTACTAAAATACAAAAAGGTTTCTTGTTATAATAACATGCCATATATATTACTTCATATGTTTTAATCTGTGCTTATTTTTAACTTATCTGGTTATGATAAATATTTTCTCAAAAAGAGTCCTTAAAAAAAATTTAAATTTTTGATTTTGATGAGTTTTCATGTAGTTTTTTTCTACTTACTTTTGTAAAAAGTAAAATACTTGAAAAACTTACCAAATGCAATATTTCTATATATTATTACCTCAGGTATATTATACTAAAAATTACTCGTATCTAAATTGATAATTATTTATTTTTTTATATTAAATTATATAAATTTACTATGCAATGTGTTAATAAATTTAATGAGGTGAAAATATATATCGATTAACCAGGATTTAGTGTTAACTGTTTTTGGACAATTCATGTCATGAATATATTGATTTAGAACCTTTTTGGTATTGTTGTTGGGAGTGTTGACACCCAATTTTGACCCTCCCCGATAGTAATTAATTCCCGAGCTTCTTAATTTTTCAAACGATTTAAAATAATTAGCTCTATATAATTCAAAATAGTTTCAAGGTTATGTTAAGTAATTCTAGTCTATTTTTTATAGTATTTGGAATGATGAATATATTTCATGTAATTTTATATATAATTAGTATAGTTTATAAACATTTCGGAAATCATTTCAAAAGATTTTAATTTTAGTGAGTATCTTATTAAATTAGTTTAGTTTAAATTGTGGTTATAATTTTGAATCATTGATTTACAATCGATTTAATTATTTTATATCGTTAAGAGTAAGAAGCTCGTTAATTAATTAATATTAATTTGTCTTATTTGATTTTTAACCAAATTCATGAGTATCCATCCAATTTTGGCTAAATTCTTAATTAGTTTGGCAAAATTCACAATTTGTAAAACTATTTCCTAATTCCAATCTAACTTACCTTACCTTAAACCCATTTTGGGCCATTTCTTAATACCAAAACCGGCCCACAAAGACCCATCAACATTTGCCAAATTCTTTCAACTAACAATACCAAACAGCAGCCCATACCTAGCAATTACTCCCAGCGCCCCAGCCCACATCTTAGCCCCAACCCAGTCCATTCCCCTGACCCGACCCAAACCCTTTTCCCCTTTTAATTTCAATGTGAACATCACAGCGTACAAGACCCAGAAACAGCCAAAAAATGCTAACACACAGCAGCGAGGAAACAGAGAGAGGATGCTGCAATTTTGTCGTCTCCCGTCCCTGTCTGCATTAATATCGCAGCAGCAAGCAGCAAGCACGCGATTTCTCCCCTTTCCTCTTTCGGAATGGGTTGAAATCGCAAGAAAAGGGTGTCTCACCGAAATGGTGAAAGTTTTTGGGGAGTTTTGAATTTCAAATTAGTCCCTTTCTTATGGAATTTTAGCCTCTTTCCCCCCAAAATCCGAACCCTAATTGCTCCCTATATAAGCATCTTTTCTGGTCATTTACAGAGGGATTTTTTTTGGGGGGTTAGAAATTTTTGTTTGAGAACAAAAATACTCCTAATAGCTTAAGAAAACATAACTGAAATATATACTAATACACCAAGGGAAACAAAAAGGAAAATACTAAATTTTGGTGCCTGAGTTCTGATATCTCTGTCCAAATATTCTGATTTGCTGCTCGTGTTCGGGTCTCGGTGTGGTGAAGATCGTCGTTTTGCTCGTCCTGTTCCCAGTCGCTGCCCGGAAAAAGGTGATTGTTCTTCTTAATTTTGG